AGGTCACATGTAGATCTCAAAAATATACTCAGTTTTTTTCTAACAGCAATAATAAAAAAGTTGTGGCAAAAATAAATTTTTTGATATCTCCTCGCTCATCTATTATCCTGATACAAAGTTCCGAATTCGAAAAGATCCAATTTTGTCTACAAAATTTTGGTACCAGGATAGCAGAAACGCGACAAGGTATTTAACTTATTTTTAAATGTGAATAACGACTGAACGGCTCAAGATAGAGGCAAGCCGCAGAGGGCATTTTAAACTATCCGTCCGGCTCTACCTTTGTGTGAACTTATGGAATAATTCGATCATTATTAACTGAGGAATTACCAAAAAAAAGTTAACCCTTATACCTAGGGAGCAACTGAGTTCACCCCTTAATTGCTAGTGCTTTCTTTTATATGTACCCCAATTTTCATCAAGATCGGACACAAAAAATTTTTTTGTCGAAAAATTTGGAAGGCTATACCCTTTCGATTTTTTTGAAAAAATAAAAAACAATTTAAATTTGCATACGGATAGAAGGTCACATGTAGATCTCAAAAATATACTCAGTTTTTTTCTAACAGCAATAATAAAAAAGTTGTGGCAAAAATAAATTTTTTGATATCTCCTCGCTCATCTATTATCCTGATACAAAGTTCCGAATTCGAAAAGATCCAATTTTGTCTACAAAATTTTGGTACCAGGATAGCAGAAACGCGACAAGGTATTTGACTTATTTTTAAATGTGAATAACGACTGAACGGCTCAAGATAGAGGCAAGCCGCAGAGGGCATTTTAAACTATCCGTCCGGCTCTACCTTTGTGTGAACTTATGGAATAATTCGATCATTATTAACTGAGGAATTACCAAAAAAAAGTTAACCCTTATACCTAGGGAGCAACTGAGTTCACCCCTTAATTGCTAGTGCTTTCTTTTATATGTACCCCAATTTTCATCAAGATCGGACACAAAAAATTTTTTTGTCGAAAAATTTGGAAGGCTATACCCTTTCGATTTTTTTGAAAAAATAAAAAACAATTTAAATTTGCATACGGATAGAAGGTCACATGTAGATCTCAAAAATATACTCAGTTTTTTTCTAACAGCAATAATAAAAAAGTTGTGGCAAAAATAAATTTTTTGATATCTCCTCGCTCATCTATTATCCTGATACAAAGTTCCGAATTCGAAAAGATCCAATTTTGTCTACAAAATTTTGGTACCAGGATAGCAGAAACGCGACAAGGTATTTGACTTATTTTTAAATGTGAATAACGACTGAACGGCTCAAGATAGAGGCAAGCCGCAGAGGGCATTTTAAACTATCCGTCCGGCTCTACCTTTGTGTGAACTTATGGAATAATTCGATCATTATTAACTGAGGAATTACCAAAAAAAAAGTTAACCCTTATAGCTAGGGAGCAACTGAGTTCACCCCTTATTTGCTAGTGCTTTCTTTTATATGTACCCAAATTTTCATCAAGATCGGACACAAAAAAAATTTTTGTTGAAAAATTTGGAAGGCTATACCCTTTCGATTTTTTTGAAAAAATAAAAAACAATTTAAATTTGCATACGGATAGAAGGTCACATGTAGATCTCAAAAATATACTCAGTTTCTTTCTAACAGCAATAATAAAAAAGTTGTGGCAAAAATAAAAATTTTTGATATCTCCTCGCTCATCTATTATCCTGATACAAAGTTCCGAATTCGAAAAGATCCAATTTTGTCTATAAAATTTTGGTAGCAGGCTAGCAGAAACGCGACAAGGTATTTGACTTATTTTTAAATGTGAATAACGACTAAACGGCTCAAGATAGAGGCAAGCCGCAGAGGGCATTTTAAACTATCCGTTCGGCTCTACTTTTATGTGAATTTATGGAATAATTCGATCATTATTAACTGAGGAATTACCAAAAAAAAGTTAACCCTTATACCTAGGGAGCAACTGAGTTCACCCCTTAATTGCTAGTGCTTTCTTTTATATGTACCCCAATTTTCATCAAGATCGGACACAAAAAATTTTTTTGTCGAAAAATTTGGAAGGCTATACCCTTTCGATTTTTTTGAAAAAATAAAAAACAATTTAAATTTGCATACGGATAGAAGGTCACATGTAGATCTCAAAAATATACTCAGTTTTTTTCTAACAGCAATAATAAAAAAGTTGTGGCAAAAATAAATTTTTTGATATCTCCTCGCTCATCTATTATCCTGATACAAAGTTCCGAATTCGAAAAGATCCAATTTTGTCTACAAAATTTTGGTACCAGGATAGCAGAAACGCGACAAGGTATTTGACTTATTTTTAAATGTGAATAACGACTAAACGGCTCAAGATAGAGACAAGCCGCAGAGGGCATTTTAAACTATCCGTCCGGCTTTACCTTTGTGTGAACTTATGGAATAATTCGATCATTATTAACTGAGGAATTACCAAAAAAAAGTTAACCCTTATACCTAGGGAGCAACTGAGTTCACCCCTTAATTGCTAGTGCTTTCTTTTATATGTACCCCAATTTTCATCAAGATCGGACACAAAAAATTTTTTTGTCGAAAAATTTGGAAGGCTATACCCTTTCGATTTTTTTGAAAAAATAAAAAACAATTTAAATTTGCATACGGATAGAAGGTCACATGTAGATCTCAAAAATATACTCAGTTTTTTTCTAACAGCAATAATAAAAAGTTGTGGCAAAAATAAATTTTTTGATATCTCCTCGCTCATCTATTATCCTGATACAAAGTTCCGAATTCGAAAAGATCCAATTTTGTCTACAAAATTTTGGTACCAGGATAGCAGAAACGCGACAAGGTATTTGACTTATTTTTAAATGTGAATAACGACTGAACGGTTCAAGATAGAGGCAAGCCGCAGAGGGCATTTTAAACTATCCGTCCGGCTCTACCTTTGTGTGAACTTATGGAATAATTCGATCATTATTAACTGAGGAATTACCAAAAAAAAAGTTAACCCTTATAGCTAGGGAGCAACTGAGTTCACCCCTTAATTGCTAGTGCTTTCTTTTATATGTACCCAAATTTTCATCAAGATCGGACACAAAAAAATTTTTTTGTCGAAAAATTTGGAAGGCTATACCCTTTCGATTTTTTTGAAAAAATAAAAAACAATTTAAATTTGCATACGGATAGAAGGTCACATGTAGATCTCAAAAATATACTCAGTTTTTTTCTAACAGCAATAATAAAAAGTTGTGGCAAAAATAAATTTTTTGATATCTCCTCGCTCATCTATTATCCTGATACAAAGTTCCGAATTCGAAAAGATCCAATTTTGTCTACAAAATTTTGGTACCAGGATAGCAGAAACGCGACAAGGTATTTGACTTATTTTTAAATGTGAATAACGACTGAACGGCTCAAGATAGAGGCAAGCCGCAGAGGGCATTTTAAACTATCCGTCCGGCTCTACCTTTGTGTGAACTTATGGAATAATTCGATCATTATTAACTGAGGAATTACCAAAAAAAAAGTTAACCCTTATAGCTAGGGAGCAACTGAGTTCACCCCTTATTTGCTAGTGCTTTCTTTTATATGTACCCAAATTTTCATCAAGATCGGACACAAAAAAAATTTTTGTTGAAAAATTTGGAAGGCTATACCCTTTCGATTTTTTTGAAAAAATAAAAAACAATTTAAATTTGCATACGGATAGAAGGTCACATGTAGATCTCAAAAATATACTCAGTTTCTTTCTAACAGCAATAATAAAAAAGTTGTGGCAAAAATAAAAATTTTTGATATCTCCTCGCTCATCTATTATCCTGATACAAAGTTCCGAATTCGAAAAGATCCAATTTTGTCTATAAAATTTTGGTAGCAGGCTAGCAGAAACGCGACAAGGTATTTGACTTATTTTTAAATGTGAATAACGACTAAACGGCTCAAGATAGAGGCAAGCCGCAGAGGGCATTTTAAACTATCCGTTCGGCTCTACTTTTATGTGAATTTATGGAATAATTCGATCATTATTAACTGAGGAATTACCAAAAAAAAGTTAACCCTTATAGCTAGGGAGCAACTGAGTTCACCCCTTAATTGCTAGTGCTTTCTTTTATATGTACCCCAATTTTCATCAAGATCGGACACAAAAAAATTTTTTGTCGAAAAATTTGGAAGGCTATACCCTTTCGATTTTTTTGAAAAAATAATAAACAATTTAAATTTGCATTCGGATAGAAGGTTACATGTAGATCTCAAAAATATACTCAGTTTTTTTCTAACAGCAATAATAAAAAAGTTGTGGCTCATTTAGCAAAAAGTATCGAAGATAGAGAGAAGCAGACACCCGCCAGACATTCTAAATTAAATACAAAAACGTTGTGCCAAGTTTCATAAAGATCAGAGCGAAAATAAAAATGTGCCATATCTCCTTAGGGGTCTATTCTGTAAGAATTCCTTTATATTTAACGGCCTTTAAAAATATTTTCTTCTTTACTTCTGTCATTATTTAAACGGATCTTTAAAATACATTAGAGGACTATCTTAAAAAAATCTGTTTAAATAATGACAGAAGTAAATTAACGAATACGAACATATTTTTATAGGCCGCCAATATTTTTAAAGGCCGTTAAATAAAAAGTAATTGTTACAGAAAATAGACCCCTTAGAGTGGAACTGAGTAATTTTTGAGGTTTAGACGTTGCACTTTAGGTGTACGATGATTTTGAAATTTGTTTTATTATTTTAGAAACGAGTGAAATAAAATGAGCGTTTTAAATGGACGAGAAAATTATTTTTTTTCAATTTTGGCGCATTATTCTTGTACTCGATAGGCAACATAGAATACACCAATGTGTAATGATGGTTGCCTATTCTGATGAGAGCTATCTATTAGTGAATAGCTAAAACAATACAGATTTCCTTCTTAAATTTTATATTATTGTGACATTCGCCAGTAGATGGCGCTTTTGTAAATTTTGTCAGCCATTTTTAATCAATTTTCTTTAAATAATGCATTATTGCTTACATTTAATAAATAAAACAAGATCTTTAACAATATGTTTATTTTGAAAAATACATAATTTAAGATATAAAAGGAAAAATAATAGAAATTGTATAATTAATACTTTCGCTGCTCTGGCCCGTCGGTACGAGAACATCTAGATTTGGACCATGCACGTTTATTGGGCTATACCCAATCAAAATATAAAATATATATGCTGAGGAATAGCTATTATGTATACGGGGCGATTGTAAATACGGATAGAAGTCAACATTACATAGATAAACGGCTACAGATAGAGATGATCTATTTTTGCCAGTTTGTATTTTATTTGATGTAAGTTTACCTTGCTACCAACGAGCACCAAATTTTGAAAAAGGAAACTTTTATTAATTTTCTTCAAGTTCAAGCTAAAATAAATGCAATAAGGGCTTGTATCAGACCAAGACATCTTTAAATCTTTTGAATTGTTTGGAATATAGATGTCTGGGTCAACAAATTAAATTGCTCGACCATGATGTGCCTTTGCATAATGATCTATAATCCATCCCATTATTGTGCTGTTATCCACATGACCGCCCGTGTTAATTTAGTTTCTTTGCATTGTTTAAGATGGAACTCGTTGAACTGTCAACAACTCTTTTAACTATGCAAGACGATGTCAGAAAAATCACTGAATCTTTTACGGAGCATCGATCAGTAAAATGTCAAGACAATTAGATTGGAATGAATAAAAACAATGATTTGCGTTGCTTAACATATACAGGGATTTCATTTCAAAACTAGCCACCCAAAATAACTTTTAAAATATCTTTAAAACAAAAAAACAAGTATCTGTAACCGTGCAGTTTCATCCCCTAAGCGGTGGTGAATATCACTTCTAAAATTTTAAATAGAAAGGGGTATCATGTGATAGTTCTTCTTAAAGGTCTTTTTTTCCAATCTTTTGACACATTATTTTTTTAAATCGGATTAATTTTTCACCAAGTTATAACCTAGAAACCGGAAAAAATATTGAATTAAAATGCATGAGTATAAATACCGAGATAAACAAGTTAGCAAAAAGCCTTAAATGTTTTTTGCGTAAGATATTTTTGACCGTAAATTAAAACAATTTATTATTAGTAGATTATTGGTTTCATTGTGTACTGACAATTTAATTTCGACAATGGTTTAGTCTTTACAAGAAAGAATTGAAATAAATCTTTATTTATGGTGAAGAACAACGCTGTGCACGCAGAACTGCTCGTGTTTTTAATCAGCGACATCCCGATAAAAATGTTGGGCATCAGTATGTGTTGGATTTAGTTCATAAATTTCAAAAAACTGGAAGTGTGTGCAATAAAACTGTAAGGAATCGTAGAGTTTTAACTGAAGCTGCACAAGTTGAGATTTTATCATGGAATCTCAAACATCAATACCAAAAGTCTCCAGATTAACGAATATTTCCGTTGGCTCTGTCCATAAAAGGTTACGGCTAAATAATTTTTTTCCTTACAAAATACAGCTTTTACAACAGCTTGCTGAGGATGATTATGACAGAAGATTAGAATTTTGCGAATTAATGACTTAAAGGGCAAATTAAGACCATAATTTTATTAAAAATATTTGTTTTACTGACGAGGCAGGTTTCTTTTTAAATGGATTTGTCAATAAACATAATTGTAGGTACTGGGACAATACAAATCCACATGTTTTTCGGGAAGAGCACAGCCAATATCCTCAGAAAATCAACGTATGGGCCGGAATTCTTGGTAATAACCTATTTTTTCAACAGGACGGAGCACCTCCACAATATGCCTTGCCTGTACGAAATTGGCTTAATGAGACATTTCCAGATAAATGGATCGGAAGAAGAGGCGCTATAGAATGGCCAGCGAGATCACCCGACGTAACGCCCCTTGACTTTTTTTTATGGGGACATCTAAAAACTGTGGTGAATAAAACTCAACCTCGCGATATTCCTGAACTTAGACGTAGAATAGTGGAGGAGTGTGAGCGGATTACACCAGAGACCCTTCAAAAAGTGCGGGATGAATTCGAGTTGCGACTTTACCATTTCCTTGCCAACAATGGCGGACATTTTGAACATCTTATTTAAGTACAATGTAATTCTTACGCAAATAAAATATTAATAATGTAAATACAATGTAAATAATAATTATTTTAATTTAAAAGGTTAAAATGGCATAACTTGGTGAAAAATTAATCCGATTTAAAAAAATAATGTGTCAAAAGATTGGAAAAAAAGAGACCTTTAAGAAGAGCTATCACATGATACCCCTTTCTATTTAAAATTTTAGAAGTGATATTCACCACCGCTTAGGATATTTTAAAAGTTATTTTGGGTGGCTAGTTTTGAAATGAAATCCCTGTATAATAAAATGCATACAGACAGAATTCTAAAACAAACGGTAGGTAGCACAGAATATGTACAGGAACCCTACATCTCACAATTTAAGTAAAAATGGACATTTGTTTGATGTATCTTCCAATGAAACAAGCACAAATTTCAATGAAACTTACGAAATGATTTTACCCGCAGTCGGAGTCTAAAATTACTAAACGTAAAAATATTGGATTCTACTGGTTTAATTCATACTATTTCTCCTCCATGGGAAACTGAGGAATCAAATCACTCTTTTAACTTTAGTTATGGAAGCGACTCTAGCAATGAATTTATTTGATTTAAACTGCCAAAGAATAAATTCATCGCAAAAAGAAACTGCAAACTGTTTAACACAAATAAAAATAGCCAGTGCAAAGTACAGAGCAAATAGAAATAATTGTATATTCGGTGAAACAATCCAAATCGACCGAAACTTTAAAATGGGCCGATAGTCCTATCGGAAAAGCATCATGAATAAAGCAAATTATGGAAGTTCAAATAAAAAAGCTAAAGTGCCCAATAAAAGTTTATGACAAATTGGAAAATTTAAAAGATATGACAGAGCAAACTTTGAGAACTAAACTTTTACTTTCTGGAAGGAAGCCTAATATTGAAAATCCAAGATTCAAGATTAAATCTCCCAAAATAACCTAAAGAATACTATATTAAGTAACAATTTGTAATTTGTGTACCTTATTTAGAATCAACGCTCTCTATGGGTCTACTTTTGGAGGTGATCTTAAACCTCACCCATCTACATTTAATGATAGAGAATGTGGCAAAAAGGACACAATATAGAATGATCAGGAACGGAGTAATCAGACGAAAGTCTACTTGCTTCAGGACTAAAGATACCTGGGACATGCCCCAGGATGAAATGCAAAAGAAGTACAGTTTTGTAAAAAACTTCAAAACCACAGAGCTGGGCTGCAAGAAAGAATGGAGCCAAGAATCCATCGCGCTTGCAACCGAAAGACGTGCTATTCAGTGGTATACGGACGGTTCCAAAACCATAGAAGGAACTGGAATAGGAGTGTATGGGCCGAGAACCAAGCACTCCGAAAGCTTGGGAAAATACCCAAGCATCTTCCAGGCGGAAATTCACGCCATCGAGAAGTGTATCCAGTTTAATATCGAGAGAAACTATCATAGACAAGAGATTATCAACATGTCCGATAGTCAAGCAACCATCAAAGTGCTGAGCTCTTACGTAATCAGCTCAAAAATGGTATGGAGATGCCTAGAACAATTGAATGAGCTAGGCGAGAAAAATAGAGTTACTCTCACTTGGGTCCCGGGACATAACGGGGTACAGGGTAACGAGATTGCAGATAGTCTTGCAAGGAAAGGGGATCAAACACCCTTTGTAGGACCTGAGCCATTCTGCGGTATCAGCAGTAACATAATATTAGGAGAGATTAAAAAAGAATTGGGTAGTAGAAGAACCGATAATTGGAACAATCTCTTGGGGCTGAGACAGGCCAAGATACTTCTGGGTGAATATAACCAGGAAAGATCGGAAGCCTGCATCTGCCTGAGCAAGAACAGGCTACGTATTGTAACAGGGATCCTTACCGGGCATTGCCGACTGAAAGGACACCTAAATAAACTGAGAGTAGAAGAGGATAGTGAGTGCAGATTCTGTGAGGAGGAGGACGAAACCTCCATTCACATCCTAACTGAATGTGTAGCACTCCAGAATCCAAGGGCACTATATCTAGGAGGATATCAAATAGAAGAGGGAGATTTACCTAACTTGAAGCAACTTCAAATCCTACACTTCCTTGAGAAAATAGGATTGGAAGGTTCGCTATAGGCATTGAGACATTTCCTTAGTGCAGTGACGACAGAAGGGGGCACAATAGATCTTTTAGGTCGCAGTGTATGAACACCCCATTCTCAACATAACATAACATGGGTCTACTTTACCAAAAATGGTTTTGTGGCAATAGGTTATAACCACTTGTAACCAAAAAAACTATTTTTATGTTAAAGTAGACCCCCAGGGGGCGTTATTTTCCGTGAATATTGGATAGTAATTTACCATTAATGAATATGTAGGCATGTAGTTATTAAATCGTTAAATATTTTGAATATTACAAAACTGTTCTTGTTCCTATTTTGTTTTATTAAATATTTAATATTGACTTTAAGTATTGTCCCTTCCCCAATTTTTAAAAATATATCTATTTATTACAAGAATGTGATCGTAGAAAAAAATCTTGTCTGCAATTCAAAAGAAAAGTTCATTGCCGCTTTCGATACTAAGCATCGCACAGGCCATATTTTGTCTCAAGAGCTAAAGTATCATTTTTCGCCCCCAATACACATAGCTATTATATCAACATTTATAATATTCGTAATACATTTCTAAAAGTACAAAAATATATAAGGAAAATCACAATATTGAAGTTAAATAAGTAATGTAAACATACAAAATCGATATAATTTTTTTGTCATTTGACTGACACTCATTCTAACCTTAATTTAAATTTAACTACTGCACCGGGTTTCCTATGTATTAATTTGACATGGCACATATCGAATAGAGCGAATTAGGTACATAAGACTCGCTTCTCGATACGTAACATATCAAAAGATGAGAATCCCATTACAGATATAATTTCAGTCGATTTATATAACAAAATATAAAAATATTTAAATTATGGATATTATAATACAGAAACCACAGAGCTAGGATATATAGACCAGATAGAGGTAGGATGAGAGAGAGATAAAAAAAAGTTGTCTGTCACACATAAAATGTAAATAATATTTAAATTATAATTATTAATAAATTATTTTTCTCTTATTTGAAAACTTACTTAATTGAATGATAAATCACTTATACAAAAGAGTAAAAGAGAAACTTCAGGCCTTAAATATGATCCGTAACACTAATAATAAGTTAAAAAATTATAAAATTAGATTTTTTAAACATCTATTTTTATACTAAATCTGGTGAATACGATTTTTTTTAAGATTGCCTCTCATGTTCCCTCTATCTATTCTAACTTTGTGACATACATACACAAAAGCCAGTTCGAGTGAAACTGAATTAAATGCAGTTAAAATCAGATAAATAATAAAAGATTAATAAATAGTTAAAAACTGGCTTGTTTTAAAGTATAAAGTCGTAGTAATAATTACAAATTCGGATTGTATAGTCTAAATAAGATCTAGCCGATCAAATTCTCACTCAAGTTGTAAATTGACAGTTGATTAATTTTAAATTTTACAACAAAATTTCGATAATTTCTCTTGGGAATTACATAACACAAATGTCATTGATTTAAATTTGGTTTGGTAAAAATTAGCTGAAACATTTGTAAAGTGAAATAGAGCGAATCAAGTTGTCAATAAAGATATTTTGCAAATATTTCATTTGACCATATTTTTATTATCTAATAAACGAAAATTCAAATAAAACGACATATTTAATTAATATCACAATCTACGAATTAATAACCAACTGTCATTTATATTAGTGTTTAAATTGGTGATCACGACAGTATTGCCTCTAGAAAGTTTAAATTATAATTAGATGTACAATGGCGTGTTTAGTGAAATTTTGAACTATTTCACTGTTATGTTAATCTAACTACTATTCCATCTCTTTCACGATTGTTCTTATTTTAGATTTTTAAAATCATAACTTTCAATTCTGTCACATAACAAATTGAAAATTACAGATCAAAATAGACACCCTAGTGCAAGAAAAAAATGTTTTTTATGCTTAAAAAATTTATAGCTTCACTAAACACTCCGTTATGTAAATTTGTTCCTATAATTGTCGTGATATAAACTCGGTTCCATAGGCAAAACTCTCGTGCACGTTTTGGCAGAAAGAAATTATTCGGAATTATATATTCTAAGAAGTATCTTTTGGCTATAATTAAACACATTTGGCTAGTCTCACTCATATATATCAGCCACATACAGTACATTTTTGTAGGTATTTAATGCTACTTCCAAAATGCAGTGACGACATACACCTAAACATATATTTTATTTTACACATACTTTTAAGTATTTAAATATGACACTTTTTTACATTTAACTAGTTTACCAAGAAGTGGTTCGCTACTTCAGAATATTATTAGAAAATATATATACAAGATGCACATCAGATAATAGACAATTAAGCAAATTTTACACCATGTTCTCCAAGCATTCTTGAGAATTATCACATAGTCTTGAATCAGTGGTTGAACTTCTGACAGTTTCAGATTCGGTTTTTCTTTTAGGTGGAAGCTTGAGACGAAGGGCATACCAGAATGTTTCATCAGTTTTTCTCTCCCATAGGATAACGCCAATTGATCTGAAATAATGATGTTATTAAAATAGTTATAAAGTTAATGTTTTCTTTACACATTTCACGACATTAAATTTATTTAGAACTTAGAATTTTCTTGCATCAGTACTTGGTTGTACATATCAATCTTTTTAAAAACCCACCTATTGGCCCACCGACCCTAATAAGATTCTTTTGGTTTTTTTATTCTGAGGAAAATTTCACCAAACTAATACATGAGTAGAAAACACTTTGATATTGTAATAATTGGCATTATTATTTTTAAAATATAAAGAATTTAACAAAAATCCCAAAAATATCTAATATTTTTAATCTATTAAATTAACACAACATATTTATTAAAACCAAACAATTAGAAATAGTTCATTGTACTAGAAAATTAAAGGACAAATCGTGCGAATAATCATTAAAAATAAATAAGTCGAGTTTCTTTTAATATAATCACGTTAAGGTTGATATAAATAGAGAGTCAATCATTGACACAAAAAGACTCAAGGGGCGGCCGTTGGGCCAAACCTATGCCCAAAAAATGTAACTTAGTAATTATTAGTATTTATTATATATAGTAAAGTGTGTGTGTAGTGTTTTAGTTTCAAAGGTAATATCTATTTTATTTTAACATGTTTAAATCTCTTGTTTGGGTTATGTATTTTAAAACAGTTCATTAGTCTTTCCTCAAATGCCAATTCTTTCATTTTCGACCCAAGATTACTTATTAAATGTTTATCACTTTTAAGGGTTTTATCATATAAAGAGTTTTTTATTATAGTAAAAAGTTTTTGTGATGTAAAAGGTTTCATTATATTAAAATTTTATCATAAATTATATTCTATTAACATGGTTTATCATAATAAAGATTTACAATTGTAGATAGTAATTTTTGCTTGTCTTATTTCAAAAATAAAGATTGTTCTGATTTATTAAAATTGTTAATAATTTTTTTACTTATATTTAAATATACATGTTATTGTTTATTAACCTATTTTATTCTCACCTCTTTCCAAAAACCAGTAAGAAATATTCCGAGCATGTTAAGCCTCGGCGTTCCTACCCTTAAGGACTTGAGAGTCTTAAGTCAGTTGCCAAAACCGCTCGACATATGCTATTAAGGGATGTTCTTTTTTGTATTTTATTATTTTTTCTTTATTATTTTATTTTGCCACTGACGAATGGATGTTCCTTCAGGACTCCAGGACCCTTTGGCTGGTGACAAAGCTGCCCTAATCCCTTAATAGTATATTAACAACAGTAGCTACAGACCTATCAGTAGTTGCAAATGGCCTTTAGGCTTGCCGGTTGTTACAATATGGATTCAGACCATTCTGCAGTAATCCTTACTCTAAGTCAGGGGGGTTCTCAATCTTTTTCAAAGACTGTACCCCTTAATGAAAAATTAAAATTTTGCGTACCCCCTTGTTATGAGGGATGGGGTTTATCGGGGTATGTGGGTGAGTGGAGGAGGGGTTAATTAAAAACTCGATTCATTTAAAAATATATTTGAAATGCATTACAAAACATTAATGAGAAGGATGAGCTTGCTTGTTTTTACAAAGTTGCTCAATGTTTGGCTCAAGCTTTGTTAAATACAACCTTAAATCGTTCTCAACATTCAGCTTGTTTCTGTACTTATTTTTTAGATAAGTTAAGCTCGAAAACCCTCTTTCACATAGGTATGTAGTCGAAAATCCAATAAGAATTTTTACAGCATTATTTGAAAGTTCTTGGTACTCCTTTCCAACACCGATCCAAAAATCTAATAAGGTAGCACTCAAATATTTTTTTTAAAGTCTGATCACATGATAGTTCAATTAGTTGTTCCTTCTGGAATGTTGTTAGGTTGCTCAAAGTTTCAATGGCATTAAACGAAAAGGGGTCACGAATCCAGTCCAACTTTTTATATGGGGGTGGGAAGTATTCTCTTATACTGGCCTTCAATGAGCTGAGGTGACGCTCAATTTGTGTTTTAAGGCCATCAAAAGCAGATATGTTTTTTCCGTTTTCATCCAACTCCACTCCACCCGCCGCACTTCTAGTCTGCGTAACTCGAGCACACGGGCGTAGCGAGGATTTAGTATCGGGGAGGGTTCAAGAAAATAAAAGTTCTAAAAGTGCATGAAATAACCGTATTATTCATATGAAAAAATTAAAGAGTAAAAAAAAAACAAAAGGTTCATTTGATTACATATGCATAATTAGTAATAAGTTATGCCTCTCGCCTCTCCTTATTTTAATATTATTAATGTTCATATCTTAACATTTCGGGGAGGGTTTGAACCCCCAAAACCCTGCCCCTGGCTACGCCCGTGCTCGAGCACACAAGTATTCAATTAGATTCCATTATAAATTATAATTTTTTGTGATTACAAAAGAGAAATAAAAATGGTTTAATTTTTCATTAACCTTCCCGCGTACCCCCTGAAAATTTTCGCGTACCCCCAAGGGGTACGCGTACCACAGTTTGAGAACCCCTGATCTAAGTGATAAGGTTATTCAAAAAGAAGCCAAACCGACCCTAGCAAATCGGAAAATTAATTGGGAAGGTTTTCAAGAGGACTTAACAAAGACTATTCAACTGACTATATCACTAAAAATTAAAAATCAGCTAGATAAAGAACCGGAAAGGTTTATAGTTGAAATCCAGCAAGCTGCATGGAAGACCACACCAAAAGCACGAAGATTAACAGCTGAAAAAACTATCCTGTTGAGATAAAAGAACTGGTAACAGAATTACAAGATCACCAGAAGATTAAAATATATTAAATAGAGCTACCCAAAGACTGAGAAGAGAAATCCTAAATCACAAAGAAGAATCCTCACAACAGATACCTAGATCAAATCAAATAATCAAATATATTACGTACCAGATTACAAGTTTTTTTTTTATCCATGGAGGGGATCGTACCTAGGCATGTATGCCTGTCTTGTGTGATCCCTTCCATAAGTACAAAAAAAAAATTAAAAAGAAAAACGACTCAGTAATAGGAGTAATAGGAAACTAAAGCAAGACAGGTCCAAAAAGTGAGACAGGTTTAAAACTGTCTTCTGTAGTATAGTTAAATAGAAGTTAACGCTAAAAAATTGTAAAAAATACTTGAAAAGACACCAGAAATAATGTACGTTATTTGCAGTTTTAATTAAAATATTTCAAACATATCTGGGGAAGTTTGGATCAATTCCTTGATTTCAGTTTTAAATTTAGTTAATTTAGTTATTTGTTTCGTTGATAAAGGGAGATGATAAAGAAATTGATTATTCGCTCTGGAAGGCAAATAAAAAATTCGTGTAAACACTGTCCTCCTATCAAAATAGCAGATAACAAATGGGCAAAAGACAATCAACAGAAAGTTGACACTCCTAATGAGACGATCCATAATATGGGACAACTTGATATTAGGCTAGTTACTCTCAATGAAGTTATGAAAGAAATTCAGACAAACAATAGGCCGTATTTATAAAAAAAAAGGATTTGCTTTTACTTGTAGAAATAGTAGCATGCCCTTCATATTCTATTCATAAAAATAAGAAAGAAAAGGTTTGGACTTGAAGCAAAAAAGTTTTGTTCGATAGGAAAAGGTTTTACTTTTTTGGTATTTAAAAACAGTAGCATTTGCTTTAAAATTAAAGGATTTGCTTCAGAAAATATGCATCTAGTCGAGAGAAGCTTCTGTAATAAATAATTATTTACTTTAGTCGTTTATACATACTTGTAGGGTGAATGTGTTTAGCTGTGAAGTGAATTATTTATTAAATTCAAATTTTTCGTGGCAGATGTGGTGAACGTACGCGCAGAAATTTTTTACAAAGAAAGACGTACTACATGTGAGTGCGGCTTTCAAACCCTTTTTAATGTGCAATGATTAGCAGAGTACTTTATCGGCGAGAATCTGGAAACTAGAGAAGGTGCGATCAGTGGCGGCTCGTGGGGTGGTTCACAGTGACAGAATATAGGTATCAGTACAGATGTATGAAAAAACTTTCCGTGTTTTAGAAAGTTTATAATATACCTTTCTAAAACACTGACAGTTTTTTACCTATATCTGTACCGGGATCTACATTCTACTACTGTGAACCCCCAAAATTTTGGTCACCAGCCGCCCCTGGGTGCGATTTTGGTCTCATTGTGGACAAAGCGGATGAGTGGATCAAGTTTCGATTGACCGAAAACGAAATTATGGAAGTCAAAGTGAAATGGACAGAGAACACAAATTTCCCACCTATTTCATTAATGTTTTCAAGGTCATGTCTCTATGACAACTTTCTCCATAGCCATTTGCTTCTTCACTTTTTTCGCGGGGAGCTGAGATTTTTCCAATATTTCTGGGTATTTTTTTAACATTTCGGCAATAAACATACATTCAGATTCCTCGTCACTTGCCATCTTCAGTTACAAATATCGAACAAAGCTCAATCAAATGTAAAATAAAAACTCCGAATAAAAGTTTCTATATTTATATTTACCAGCACACACTCTCACATGTCCCGGTATAATATTATAATAACATTAATAACGTTCTAGGACCCTTCCCCTGCAACTGCAAGTTTTAAGTTGTTTGGCAGCAGCTTACTTACCTAACTCGCGTGTGTATACCTTTTCCTTTTTTTGCGAGGATTTGCTTGCAAAGGAAAGGAAAAGCTTATAAATACGAAGTAAAGCAAAACCTTTTCCTTGTGAGCTTTACCTTTTACTTCTACCTTTACCTTTGAAGGAAACACTTAATTTTTATAAATACGGCCTAATAACTCACGGAAAGCTCCAGGATATGACCTTATTACTGGAGAAATATTAAAGAAACTACCACGGAAGGCTATTGTTAAATTGACATACATCATAAATGCAGCATTTCACTTTAAACATATACCTGATGCGTGGAAAATGGCTGAAGTTATCCTAATTTCTAAGTCAGGAAAACCTCCAAATGAAACGTCATTATATAAACCTATATCATTGTTACCGATAATATCTAAGTTATTTGAATAACTACTACTAAAACGACTAAAATCAATAA